CTACACAGGCTGCGCCTGTGTAGGCGCAGCCTGTAAACGTATACAAAAGTAATGCGAAAGTAATGTCATTACTTTTAAAAGTAATTTGTAATGGTAATTAATTACCTTCTGGCTGTGGTAATTTGTAATGTAATTTAATTACATTTCAGCAATTTTCAGCAAAGTAATTAGTAATGTAATTTAATTACAAAATATGAGTAATTTGGCCAGCTCTGGCGTCGGGTGACGGCGACTGACTGCGTTGCGCCCCTTCGATGCCTGCATCGCTGCGGTGGGTGGTCGTAGCTAGTCGTGGCGAGGTGATCTTCACTTCAAGCAAGAAATCTTGCCATACCATAGTCAAGATATGTGCCCAAGTGTTCGACGACGTGGGCTCTCCCACGTTGGTGCAGTTGTCATAAGAAAGGTGCATATCTACAATGTTGCGTGTTTGATGCTGAAACTATGACGCATACCTATCTAAACCTAAATTTATCGGTCTGCGGCTACAAACATTTTCGTTGACGTTGCTTAGATGATGTAATCATTCAGGCCTCGAATAAAATGGTGTTGCGAACTCTTCGGTTGTGTATGAAAACCTATTTGCCCTAATAAAAGACATTTTGAAAAGGACACATGTCTTTTGATGATATATGTCTTCCAATTTACAATGCAGAAGCAAACAGAAAATCAGCTGCATACATCTCCCACTTAGCATAAGCACCTTTTGCAGTTCATTCTTGAGCACACTCAAATATCAGCTTAGGTTGCTCTTGTATTAGAAGCTTTGCCCTGTTCTGTAAAAAAAAAAACAGTTAAAAAAGCTTTACCTTCGTTCTCCTCCTCGCATTTAATACAGACTTGTTTGTCAGCAGATCACACACAGCAGATATCACCGTGGCACATACAACTCGAATGAACGATGAGACTATTGCTATTACAATAAAGCTTTCCACAAGAGCCAAAAAGAGGCTTGTAGGGGTGCACAAGCACATCGAAATGAGATTGGCGCTTCCGGAGCTTGTTTACATTATGCGTGAAAACAGGACGATCGGCGACCAGCTGATCGCAATATAACACCAAGGATACCGATGTTTCGATACATAAAACGCAGGATAAAGACCTCAATCGTCCCTTTTTATGCTGTAGTTGTCACACTTTCGATCCAACCGCTTTTTAGCACAATTAACTAGAACAACCGAAGAGTTCGCAACACCTTTTAATGCGAGGCCTGAATGGTTACATCACCTAAGCAACGTCAACGAAAATGTTTATTTGTAGCCGCAGATCGATAAGTTTAGTTTTAGATGAAGTACGCGTCATAGTTTCAACGCGCGAACATTGTTGACATGTACCTTTCTTTGGACCCGCGTACATTCGGTTCAACTTGATGACAGCTGCACCAGCGTGAGAGCTCACGTCGAACACTTGCACACATATCTTGACTATGGCAAGATTTCTTGCCTTCGATTGGCTTGAACACTTCATCTGTAGCATCACGGTAGGTCTTGGTTGAAATGATGATCGTCTCGCACACGGCAACAAACAGAGAACGACACGCTTTGTTCTATTTATACGCTACCGGTCTACGGGCGTCGCAAATCTATCCCCCTCTTGTCCGCCATGTTGGATCGATCGGTGCGCCCCCTATATTCGCTGAAACTCCTCAATAGTGATAGCACTTTATTGCACTTAAAAGTTTGTGGTGCCGTTCGGTGTGCAGGTGAGGAGGGAAAGGCGTGCGCCTATACACATATTCAGTGATGTGATTGGCCTAAGCCATTTTGGAGCACCTTTTGGAGCAGCCAAAACAGTGTTTTGGAGCAGCAAATGTGACCTTTGGAGCAGCCAAGACAGTGTTTTGGAGCAGCAAAAGTGGCTTTTGGAGCAGCCAAAACAGTGTTTCGGAGCAGAAAAACTGACTTTTGGAGGAGATATTGTTAGAAAAATAAATAGTTGTTTTAAGTGCTGGACAAACGAAGGACACTTTGTGTTGTGTTGTGATGCGCGTGACGTGTTGGGGCGGAATTCGCTGCTTGTGTTTTTGCTGCTGAGACATCCCACAAGTATACAGTGCTGTAAACGTTGCCAAGCAACTTAAAAAAAAAAAAAAAACTTTTTATTGTTTTACTGGTTCCCGACGTGGCAGATTTTTATAAAAAGTAAGCAAACGTAAAACAATGGATTGCAAGCGTCCCGGCTGGTGCCTCTCGTGCAATCATGTTCACATGCACATGAGGGCAACTTCAGCAGGTTTGCAGTTACACGTGCTTCGTCGCGTGAGCGGAGACAACGGCAGTTCGACCGAAACCGAAACCATGCCACTCCGCTCCGTCGCCAACTGGTTCCCAAAATAGTCTGCAAAATGTGACTGTCCAGCATACGACAATAAACAGTCCAGCGGCACGTGCTTGCCAGGCCGGCAGGCGAGAAACAGGCTAAACACACAGAAAAAAAGAACCTGAGCGTAGACACTGCGAATCAGGGTCAAAAAGTTCTTGGAGCGCTTTGTGCAACGACTGAACTCGAGACAAACAAGCGCGGTGTGCGGGTTCAGCGTGCACACATTGCCTTCTTTGCTTTTGCTCACTTCTCGTCATCAACTTTCTTTCGCGGCAGATTTTCCACGTACCGGGGTCCCTCTCGAAAGAAAGTCCACCGAGAGAAACCTAGGTAATCAAAACTTCGCCAAGCAGTCATTGAGTTAAAGAGGGATTTTTATAGCAGCGTATGATTTAAACAAGAGCAGGAATGTTGATGCGTTTCAGTTTAAAAAGCGCCACATCTGCAGCGACGTGGGGACGGCAACACACGACGTCGCGCGACCACGGCGACTGCGGTCGCGCGAGCGCTTCAGCTCACGAAGTAACTCTCGCCGCGCAAAAACGTGTTTTTTTTTTCACAGCATGACGGCATGTCTGGAACCCGGCACACTAACTAACGTCGGAGCGTTCGCACATGCCCGCGTCTATCCCTAAAAAATTAAAAAAAAAAAAAAAGAAAAAAAGACCCGAGACGACGAGAGCGCGAAACGCGAACGGCGGAAAAAATCATGCAAAACCGAATAGACGATTGATGCAGGGTACTTTGTGTCGGGCGGCGTCTTGTGCCACCTAGCTCACGCATGCTCAATTACGGTTCTCAGCTTAGTTTCGTTTTTGAAAGGCGACCAAAATTGGTCATAGGCGCAGGCTTGGCGCAGATTAGCCATATTTTGGCGAAATGTAGCAGGATGTAGCAGAGTTAGCCCCTTGGCGCAGTTTGGCGCAATTGGCGCAGCAATCACATCACTGCATATTGTGCCCCTTTCACCAACCGGACGGCGCTATGAAGACTATTTTAGTTCTTATAAAAACTAGTCTAGACAAAAAAAAAAACCAACAAAAAACACGTTTTTACACGCGCGCACACACACAAACACACGCACGCACACACGCGCGCGCGCACACACACACACACACACACACACACCGGTGATTATGCTATTGTCCGAGTAACTGTTCTACACAACTCGCGGATGTCGTCTCGGTTGCAGGGGATTGACTCCGTGAGGTGGTGTGGGAGTGACCTCCAAATTTCTGCAGCACGCATTAGGCACGATGTCTTGTGGCGCAAAGTTCGCGACAGTGGAGGTTGTAGTCGGCCAGTTCGCTTGTTGAGGCGAGGTGGGGAAGGCACGTCAGGGTGGCCAGCACCCATCATTAGGCAGAAGAGCCTGATCGAGGCTACGTCTCTGCGGTGTTGCAGAGTCCGCCACTGGGCGTACTGCAGGAGTCTGGTAGTGGAAATATCTCTGGCGGCAGTGTGGTGCGACGAGGGGGAATCTCGTCGGTACAGCGTAAGGGCTGCTCTCCGCTGTATGGACTCGAGAGATTTTTTATGCGTTGTTGAGGGGGGGTCCCAGATAGCAGAACAGAATTCCAGCTGCGGGAGTACCAGCGACGTGTATAGGTGCCTGAGTGGTGCGGCTGGCATGCCGCGCGTAACTTGGGTGACGAAACCCAGTGTCCGCCTCGCACGTGAAGCAGTTCCCTGGATGTGGCGACTAAAATCGAGGCGCTCATCGAATGCGACTCCGAGCAGTTTTGTGTGAGTGACACGAGAGAGTTCGGTGCCACCTATTGCAAGGGGTGGGGAGTGTGAGGGCTTAGCCAAGGACAGGCTGACTGTCATGCTAAGGCATTTTGTAGGGTTTAGTGGGAGGCTGTGTGTTACGGACCACCTGTAACAGGTATCGAGGTCGTTTTGAAGGGAGGTGACTGCGTCCTTAGAGATTCCTGGTTGTATCAGAGAGAGGTCGTCTGCGTACAGTATTGCCTTAGATTTCAGTCCATCGGTGATGTCGTTTATGTACAGCGAGAAAAGTGTAGGGCCAAGCACACTGCCCTGCGGCACACCGGCGAGCACAGTACAGGGTGACGAGAGATGACCGTGGAAGGCAACTCGCTGGGTTCGATTCCTGACAAAGTCCATTAGCCAGTTGGCCAAGGAACCCTCAATCCCCACTTTCTGGAGTTTTTTAGGGAGAAGTGCGTGGTCGATACGATCGAATGCTTTTGAAAAATCCAATTGTACTAGTTGGCAAGGGATGCGCTGGTCTAGGTGTGAGCTAAGCATGTGAACTGCTACTGCCAAGGCAGTGTCGCAGCTGCGTCCCCTTCGAAATCCGTGTTGTGCCTGATTTAGCAAGCCATTGTCCTCCAGGTGGTTCAGGATTTTTGTATTTACTATTCTTTCCAGTGTGCGGCTCACAACTGAAGTGGAGGCGATGGGGCGATACGAATCAATGTTGTTGGTGTCAAGTCCATTACCTTTGTGGATGGGTGTTATGATGGATCTCTTCCATTGAAGAGGTACGGTGCCAGAGTCGACTATGCGTTAAAACATGTGGATCAGGATGGGCTTGATCAGAGGGGCGGAGAGCTGGACAAAAGCAGGATGCACTCGGTCTGGTCCAGGGTTCTGTGCTGGGCGAAGGGAGGACAGTGATTCTTCCAAGTCTTCTTTGGTAATGGATAGGGATGACAGAGAGGCTCCAGGTGGAGGGGACGACTCGGGATTAGCTGGGTGGGAGGGGGAGGCTTGGGGAGGTACGAGAGGCATTCGGGGTAGAGGTGAGGCGGAAGTCGTGTGGGGAGACCAAATTGAGGAGAAGTGTTCACTAAACAGAGAGGCTATAGTGGGGGGGTCTGATACAAGTTTCTGGTTGTGTTTGAAGACTGGGTGGCCAGGTGAAGAGGACTTTCTTTGGGATTTGACGTAGGCCCAAAACAGCTTGGGCTCTTTGGCTGCTCGGGCTGCAATGCTGGTGACATACTCCTGATGAGATATGTGTACCAGCCTCTTTATGTCTTTTTGCAAACTTCTCGCTTCAACGTAGCTAGATGTACAGTGTCGCTTTCGAGCACGATTGAAGAGTAGGCGCTTTCGTCTTGCAAGTTTTACAATGTCTGTGGTGATCCACGGAGGCCTCTTTTTCTTCGAGGCTGGCGAGTGAGGAACGCATTCCGTCTGGATTGCAGTCATAAAGTCAGTCCAGAGCTTGTACATTTTGTGGGTAGAGGGTTCAGACAGCACCATCGACCAGGGGGCAAGGTGAAGGAGCGCGCGTAGGTGGGAGAGATCCGTCTTTCCATACCGGTATATCATATGGTATATACCATACGTATGGTATATACCATACGTATGGTATATACCATACGTATGGTATATACCATACCGGTATATCAGATCGAAGGCTAGACCAGAGGAGTGCAACTTCCTATACCGCCCATGGAACGCAAATTGGAAAACCCTGGGAGGCCGCAGCGCCATTTGAATCCCCTGGTATCCGGTGGCTGTACTAAAATCAACATGGCGGTACAGCGAAACCAAAACCGAAACTGCACGGCAGCGCCATTGTGTTTGGATGGATGGGTGGTAGCTTGCGCCACCTAGAGTTAAAAATATATATATCGTAGCTTTTTTTTTTTTTTTTTTGCCCGGTTTGCGCGTTGCTTTGCTAGGCTTCTGCTGCTTTGCGGCTGGTTTTCACATTTCAGTGCTGGTTAATGTGCGTTGAAACGCACACAAGCCAGCACTGAAAAGCGAGACCAGCAGCAAAGCAGCAGAAACCTAGCAAAGCAACGAAAGTGACACATACACAAAAAATATGCAATGCTTGTCCTTTTGCGTTCATTTTTATTCAACAGACAGTAGAAAATACAGACGAAATTCCTCACTGTTTTGCACACGAGAAACAAAGAAATGAACAACAAAACAGGATAAAACGTTAAAGGGACCATGAAATGATTTTAAAATCGAGTTTCATCCACCGGACGTCGTAAAAGGTGTGAAAAGAAACACAAAAATAGGGAGCCAAAAAAAATTATTTGCTATAGAACTTTTAAAAGAAAACTGGACTCTTTTGCGCCTTCCTTCCTTCGCCTGTTCACTACGATGCATCCGCGGAAATGGAGCACGTCAGCCAAATCCAGGTCGCCTATTGGGTAAGAGCCTACCTCACCAGCACCGCGATCGTAAACAATAAATAGCCGGCGAATGTTTCCTAAAAGTTTTGTTAAATAATATTCAGATCCACATTTTGTAGCATAATTAGAGATGTGTGGCGAAAATTGCCCAATTTGATAATGCTGAAAGCCAGGCGCCATCTATCGTGTGGTAAACGAAGCAACTACTGCGCGTGCGCAGTAGGGCAGGGCCGACAGTTACTTGGGTGGCGGCCAGCGACGAACGTTTATTTCCCTTGTTTTCCTTCCTCTCAAAGCTCTAACTGACTGAACGTTTATTTTTCTATGTGTTCTTCCCGCGCGTGCCGACTTCAAGCAGCAAGAAAACAGTACTTAAAGGGACCATGAAATGATTTTAAAATCGAATTTCATCCACCGCACGTCGTAAAAGGTGTGAAAAGAACCACAAAAACACAAAACTAGGGAGCCAAAAAAAATTATTCGCTATAGAACTTTTAAAAGAAAACTGGACTCTTTTGCGCCTTCCTTCCTTCGCCTGTTCACTACGATGCATGCGCGGAAATGGAGCACGTCAGCCAAATCCAGGTCGCCTATTGGGTAAGAGCCTACCTCACCAGCACCGCGATCGTAAACAATAAATAGCCGGCGAATGTTTCCTAAAAGTTTTGTTAAATAATATTCAGATCCACATTTTGTAGCATAATTAGAGATGTGTGGCGAAAATTGCCAAATTTGATAATGCTGAGAGCCAAGCGCCATCTATCGTGTGGTAAACGAAGCAACTACTGCGCGTGCGCAGTAGGGCAGGGCCGACTTAGAACGGTTATTTCCTTTGGTTTCCTTCCTCTCAAAACTCTGACTGACTGAACGTTTATTTTTCTATGTGTTCATCTCGCGCGTGCCGACTTCAAGCAGCAAGAAAAAAAATGTACTTAAAACAGACCACGACGAGCAAGAACGCTGGATCCACAAACACCCGAGAAGAGCGACAACAGCCGCGAATCCCGCTCCGACGAAGCTCTCAGAATATAGGCCTAGCAGGCACTCCGACTCGGCGCAGCGTTGCTTCGTCGCAAGACCGTCTGCCTGCCTACGACCGGCTGGCGTGCTGAATGGAATATGCCCGTGCTACCCTTGTGGACCCTTCCCGTATTATAGTTTGATCGCTGACCTCAATTTTAGATTAAGAGGTGAGGTCAATCTCTTCCCCTTGTTTTCCGAGGCAGTGTTGACGAACACTCGTCGAAAAGAGACCCTCGTCGATTCTCTCTTCTTGTTTTGTGTGATATAGAGCTGAAATAAACGCTGTATGGATTACCTTCGTAACGTACGGTATGTACTCTTTGTTATTGGTATGCCATTTTTATTCTGACAGACTGCACGTCACTGTCGAGCTGTAACAGTTCGTGGGAGGTATACGTGCAATACCGGTCCAACCTTTCTTTGCCGAGTGTCGCGTCAGTATCGAGTTGCAATCGTAAAAGATCGGTCCCGAAGCGCTTACCAACAGCGCGAATACAGCACTTCCATCAAACGCGCGCGTCCGCTCCGAGTGTGAGCAGGTATTTACGTGGCTCTTGCTGACACTCGTAGTTCAAACGTATCTTTTTTAACGTCGGCTCGCTCCTGCATCTCCGAGACTGCGAAAAACGCCGCGGCAATTTGTTTCCATCTACGTCGCTTTGCAAACGACTGACACTGGCCGCCTTTTACCAACAATGACAGTTGGGTTGACTTCTGAAGTCTTCACCGGAAGACTCGCTGCACTTCCCAACAGGCATACCGGTGTATGGGACTAGTCCCATGCTGTCGCTGTAGCGCAACGTATCTCATTGAATTTCGCTCAGCTGCGATGCGGCGATGAGAGGCGCCGATTCAGAAAATACGTCGGTGACATTGGCGCAGTAAAACCTACCGGCGCACCCCAACTCGTCGCCGCTAACGCTCCCATCTCCTACCGCCGAGAGAACTTCCGGTTCCGGAAGCAGCGTACGTCATGGCTTCTTTTGCGGTCAAGAAAAAGTCGATATTTCGTTAATTTTTTGTGTAGAAGTTAATAAACCGAGACGAAAACAGATGCCTGTTCGGCATTCAGAGAACATTGACGGTTTAATGTAAAAGTTATCTGGAAAAAGTAAAAAAGTCATTTAATGGTCCCTTTAAAACAGACCACGACGAACAAGAACGCTGGATCCACCGACTCCGACGAAGCGTATAGGCCTAGCAGGCATTCCGACTCGGCGCTGCGTTGCTTCGTCGCAAGACCGTCTGCCTACGATCGGCTGGCGTGCTAAATGGAATATGCCCGCGCGACCCTTGTGGACCCTTCCCGTATTATAGTTTGATCACTGACCTCAATTCTAGATTAAGAGGTGAGGTCAATCTCTTCCCCTTGTTTTCCGAGGCAGTGTGGACGAACGCTCGTCGAAAAGGGACTCTCGTCGATTCTATCTTGTTTTGTGTGATATAGAGCTGAAATAAACGCCGTATGGATTACCTTCGTAACACGGTATGTACACTTTGTTATTGGTATGCCATTTTTATTCTGACAGACTGCACGTCACTGTCGAGCTATAAGAGTTCGTGGGAGGTATACGTACAACCCCGGTCCAACCTTTCTTTGCCGAGTGTCGCGTCAGTATCGAGTTGCAATCGTAAAAGAACGGTCCCGAAGCACTTACAAACAGCGCGAATACAAGACTTCCATCAAGCGCGCGCGTCCGCTCCGAGTGTAAACAGGTATTTACGTGGCTCTTGCTGACACTCGTAGTTCAAACATATCCTTTTTAACGTCGGCTCGCTCCTGCATCTCCGAGGCCGCGAAAAACGCCATCTACGTCGCTTTGCAAACGACTGACACGGGCCGGCCCTTCTGCCAACAATGACGGGGTGGTTGACTTCTGGAGTCTTCACCGGAAGACTCGCTGCACTTCTCAACAGGCATACCGGCGTATGGGACTAGTCCCATGCTGTCGCTGTAGCGCAACATATCTCATTGAATTTCGCTCAGCTGCGATGCGGCGATGAGAGGCGCCGATTCAGGAAATACGTCGGTGACATCAGCGCAGTAAAACCTACCGGCGCACCCCAACTCGTTGCCGCTAACACTCCCATTCTCCTACTGCCGAGAGAACTTCCGGTTCCGGAAACGGCCTGCGTCACGGCTTCTTTTGCGGTCAGTTGGAGAGAATGAAAAAGTCGATATTTCAATAATTTTTTGTGTAGAAGTTAATAAACCGAGACGAAAACGGATGCCTGTTCGGCATTCAGTGAACATTGACGGTTTAATGTAAAAGTTATCTGGAAAAAGTAAAAAGGTCATTTCATGGTCCCTTTAAGGTTACGTGCGACGAAAGTGATGATATGCATCCTTGCAAATTTGATTATATAAGTAAGCATATAAGTAAAGACCGACGACGGTGTCCTAATTGCAACTAAAGGAAACTAAGCAATGAGTACCAAGAAAAACAGTTCAGCTCTTTGGTATTGAGTTTTCATCGAGAACCTGCCCATTCGTTTTTAATATTATCACTTAAATTTAGGAGTGAGTCACTGCTAAACGAAACGGG